ACCCACCCAGGGATACATGTGGCTGCAGCAGGAGCCATTTTAGGAAGAAAACACCCTCATTTTAGGAAAACACCCACCTGCTCCCCAACACACACACACACCCCAGCCATGGAATGTGAAATATACTCCATTTTAGGAAGAAAACACCCACCTGCTCCCCAACACACACACACACCCCAGCCATGGAATGTGAAATATACTATTCCATAGTTCTCATTAACAGCCCAGATCTAAGCAAGGAATCTAAGACTGTGCAGTGGCATGGTAGAGGGGACACAGCTGAATCCCCTCCTCCACCACAAAAATGGCTTAAGTGCCTCTGTGTACAGGGGGCCGATGAGTACAAGAGAACAGTGTTTGGCCCACCACTTCCTGTGCAGGACGCCCCTACCCAGCCATACCCACGACGTAGAGGGGGGCCTCTGTGTGCTTGATGTTGCAGCTGTTGCCCGCGATGCAGGTGTAGCGGCCTGAGTCCTCAGGGGCCACGTCATGGATCACCAGGGAGCCGTTCTGGAAGATGTGCATCCTGCCGGGTGAGAAGCCACACTGCTGCCCTCCTGGCCGGCTCCTTGGGAGACAAGGCTGCAGGAGAGGCAGGGCAGGTATGGGAGGGAGGCAGCCCTACCTGGGTCCCAGCTTGGTGGGGTCCAGGATGCGGTCTTTGCCCTTCCACTGAATGAGTGGCTTGGGGTCCCCCTGGGCCTCGCACCGCAGCAAGGCTGTGTGGCCCTGGTACACAGTTGTGCGCTCTGGCTCCACCTTGAAGGTTATGAAAACTGGATGGGAAGAGATTAGCGAGGGGCAGGAAGTGGTGAGTAATGGGGCTGGCCCAGTGCAGGACGCTGCCCCACCAGGCCTGCCAGCCCTGGCCCCAGGGCCCTGCCATGGTCGCACCTGCCACAGTGAGCTGGACGTGGGCACGAATCTGGCCCTGTGGCCCGTTGGAGGCAATGCAAGTGTAGTTGCCAGCATCATCTCGGGTCACCCGGGCAAAGTGCAGGGTCCCAGCATTGTCTGTCACCCACTCTGGAAGGCTACTCCCATCTGCAGAAGCAACAAGGGGAAATTATGAGATGGATCAGAGTTACATGGGTGGCTGGCAATGCTCTCAGTTACTCAGCTCTACTCAAAAACATGCCATCGCCCCTGACTACCCACAGGAGAAGTCCACACTCCTGAGCCAGGTGTTGCAAGTCCCCCATTATTTACTCCTTTTCCAGTTTTCAGTCTTGCCTCCTTCTCCTGCACTGTACACCGTTCCACCTCTGCTGAACTGGACTTCTGATCGGCCCAGAGGTGACCTCATTCTCATCCTCATCACCTATCACACCTCACTCCCAGGACCCATTCCTGCTCCCTGCCACCATCCCAGGCTTCAGATCCACTGGAGCCCCCCCCCCCCCCAAAGCTCCCCCAGACCTGAGCAGCAGAGGCCCCACTTTCTCCTCAGAACATACAGCCCTACTCCCTCACTCTCACAGCTGATGGGAGTGTAAAAACTGTTCCAACCCTTTAAAAAACAATTTGGCAACCTGCATCAAGGGTTGTAAAAATGTTCATAGCCTTTTATACATAATTATTCCATTTCTGGGACTCTTTCCCAAAGGAAATAAAATTAAATCCAGAAAAAAACCTTTGGCTTAAAGATGTTTATTGCAGCAATAAAACAGGAGGGAGGAGGTAGTTAACAACCCAAATCTCCAACATTTAGGAAATACGTAAGTAAATTATGGTAAACCTAATCATTGGAATATTATTGCAATCATCAAAACCAATGTTTATGCAGAATATACAAAGACATGGGGAAATGCTTCATAATGTTAAGTAAAAAAGGATTTAGATTTACATACAGTTATCTGCATTTTCTATTTCTTTTTTTTTTTTCCTTTTTGTCTTTTTTCGTAACTGGCAACGGATCGCAACCCTCAGTGTCGTGCCCGTACCGGACCGGGACCGGCAACAGGATCGCAACCCTCGGTGTTGCGCCCGCACCTCGCTCAGCCAGTGAGCGGCCGGTCCGTATGTGGGATCCGAACCCTCGGCGGGAGTGCCACCGCGCTTCCCAAGCGGCGCACTGTAGCAGTGCGCCACGGGGCCGGCCCTGCATTTTCTATTTCTATGACAAGCAGTTCTAAATCATGTAAGTTTAATAAGTGAAAACTATATGTACAATAAAACTGCTATGTAAAAACAAAAAGATATGCACAGAAAAAGAAGAGGACACACACCCAAAGATGATGGATAGTGGGATTATGCATTTTTTTTCTCCCAAAACTTTCTAAAAGAGCCCATGTAACTTTTATGTTGCAAAGGATAAACTATTCTGAAAAGGGGGAAAGGAGGACTTTACACTGTCTGGACCAATCCAACCTCCTGTTGCCTAGAATCGTCTTCTATATGGCCCAATGCTGTAATCTGACCCCTTTTGTGTCTGGCTTTTTTCTTCCTAAATGGACCATAAATAAGTCCTCCATATCTTGTCTATCCCCACGGTTCCTGGCACAGTGCTGGCCACTCAGCTGGCCCTCAGGCATGCACACAGCTCATCAGTGGATGGCCTGCCTGCCTCATCCCATGCCCACATGGTACCCACCTGCCCGTACCCACTTAATAGTGGGCTTCTCTCGGCCTGTGGCTGAGCAGGGCACCGTGGCCTCCTTGTCAAACTCCATGCACTGCTGTGGCTGGGGTGGTGGCGTGAACTTGAGCTTTTCTATTTCAGCAGAGGGCAGCAGGCAGGTAGAAAGAGGAGGAACTGAGGCAGCTGGATAGGCCAGGCGAGTCTTGCTGCTCCCTCCCCTTTCTTTCCCGCCTGGCCAGGCAAGGTGATCTCCCCACACATGCCAGCTCACCCAGCACTTGGACTCGGGCCTGCGCCTCAATGCTGCCAGCTGGAGTGCTGCTCACACAGCGATACCATGTCCCATCATACACCTCCACGTTGTTGATGCGCAAGGTCCCGTTCTTGGAGACCTCGAACCGTGAGTCCTGCAGCACATAAGACATGACCATGGGAGGCTTCAGAGCCTGAGCCGACACGAACACCTCCCAGGGGCAGCCTCAGGGGAAAGGGAGCTATGGAGGTGAGCATGGAGAGAGCTGTGGGAGGGAATTCCCACACCCTGACCCCATCCAGCAGCAGCAGTCCTCTTTCTCACCTCCGAGATGAGCATCTGGTTTCTGTACCACATGACTGTGGGTTTTGGTGTGGCCCAGCTGACCTATCAGCTGACTGCAGATACACCCCTGAGCCCAGCTGAAGCACATGCAGCTAATGAGCCATCCCAGCTGAACCCTGCCCACACAGTCAGAAGCAAATTGATAGCTGTTGTTTCAAGCCACTATGTTTTGGGGTGGTTTGTTATGCAGCAGTGGATAACTGATCCACTTAGAATACAAGCCAAAGTCCTTCTATATTCTTATAAGGTCCCACATTTCTAGTCTCCACCTCTCAGCAAACACTCTCAAAATCATTTACTCAACTCCAGCCACACAGGCTACTACTGTCCCTCTAACACACAAGCTGGTTTCTGTATCAGGGCCTCTCACATGGCTGGTGGCTCCCACCTTAAGTACCAGTTCAAATGCCATCTTCTACAGAGGTCTTCTCTAAACTCTTCCTGGCCCCCACCCTGTCTCTCTCTGTCACCCTATTTTATTTTTTTTCATGGCTCTACTGCCACCTAAAATTATATAGTTATTCATTCAGTTGTTTGTTTGCTTTGCCACTCCTATTAGAATAAGCACTCCAGAAGAGATGGGTTTCTGCCTACTTTATTCACTGATGCACTCCCAGCACAAAAAGAAGGCACTCGACCAACCTCTGTTGGCTGACTGCAGTCCCAGAGCTCTCCCTCCGCTGCGCTCTACCCACTATCCCTCAGCACCTGATCTGGCCACCCCTGCATCACGCACTCTCTCTCAAACTCCACAGGCCTCTTCCTCAGACTGTAGTGCAGGGCACTTGGTAGGGCTCAGGCAGTGTCAGCTCAATGATGGATCAAAGCCAGCAATTTCCAAACTTGAGCATGCACAAGCATCACCTGGAGCACTTATCAGACACACCTCTGCCTGGGCCCCACCCCTAGAGCTGGGTTAGGAGATGTGCAGTAGGACCTCAGGTTCTATATTTTTATTTATTTATTTATTTATTTATTTATTTATCTATCTATCTATCTATCTATCTATCTATCTATCTATCTACTATCTATCTATCTATCTATCTATCTATGCAGCTGGCTGGTACAGGGACCTGTCGGACTTGACTGGAGAGAGGCTGACCATGTAGCCTGCATTTGTCTGCATGTCACTGTGTAAATGTCCTGAGCACCATTCCCTGTGTGCTGTGGCTTCCCTCCAGAACTAGGAGACTGAGCACAAGAGGACATGTCTTCTGAGATTTCAGTAACTTAATGGGAATAATCTCATCAAAACTTCACATTTACAAAGCCTTTTCATATTCAAATCCTTCTGCAAATTTACCCACTTGGAAAAATGTTAGTAATGTAAAGGTAAGTGGAAGCAGCAGATTGCAAAACAGTTTGTACGCAAAGCCTTTTCATATTCAAATCCTTCTGCAAATTTACCCATTTGGAAAAATGTTAGTAATGTAAAGGTAAGTGGAAGCAGCAGATTGCAAAACAGTTTGTACGTGTGTGTGTGTGTGTGTGTGTGTGTGTGTGTGTGCGCGCGTGCATATTATATAGTCTGTACTGTGTATCCTTTTAAACTACCACAGAGATTTCTAATAAGGCATGGTACAAAGAAATGAGTAAACAAATAAATCCCTATGCCTGTAGCAACCATATATAGGATTTTAATTCATATGTAATTCCAGTCATATTCATCGCTTTTTCCCCTTTTCATAAGTCTACTAAAGAAATTTGGAAAGTATAACAAACTAAAACAAAATAAAAATAGTTTTGTCCACTGTTACCTCCCAAAAATAAAAAAGAAAAATCTTTTTTATCTGCTTCATTTGATCTTTCCAACCACCCTGTGGGATAGGGAGTGGATTATGAGCCCCATTTTATGGACGAGGGGACTGAGCCCTAGCAAGGCAGTTGACCTGCTATCCGTGGTCACTCTGTGCACTGGGGACAGAGTGGGACCCTGGCCTCTGGACTCCTAGTCCCATTGCTCTTTCTTTCCTCTGCAGCCAGAGGACAATTTTTCTGCAAGGGCCACCACTACTTCCTCTGGCGCACCCTCCCCAACCTCTGTGTCTGGCTCTCCACTGTCCACTCCAACTCCCAGCAGTCCATTGATTCCAGCCTGCAGCACCCAGAGCTGAGAAAGCCTCAGGTAAGCACCAGGGAAACCTCTGTCCATCACCCCTAGAGTCCAAGCTTCCATGGACCTGGACTCCTCTCCATCTGTCCTCAACCTTCAGGGCAAATGTGCTCACTGGCCACGGTGATGTTGATATCCTGTCGCCGCTGACCAGCCAGGTTGGCTGCATGGCAGGTATAGATGCCAGCATCACTCTCAGCAGTACTGGCAAACACCAACTCGTGGCCCTTCTGGTAAACCCTGCCATGGGCAGGTAGCCGGGCTCCCGCGTGTTCCCACCACACACTAGGCTCCGGCAGTCCCTTGGGGGGCAGGCAGGCCACACGCTCCTCACTGCCAGCTGTGAATACCTGTGGCTCAAGTGGCAGCATGTCTTCAATCTCTGCAAGGGTGTGAGTAGGAGGGGAACAACCCGATTACTGTGGGTTTCAGGGTACATGATGTTCTCCCATAGCAAGCCTAGGCCCTTTCTAGCTGCAACCCTCCTCTGTCCCTCTACATCTCCTCTTCCTACCCCCAGCATCCCCTCCCTCCCTCCGCCCTCCAAGCTGCTTTTTTTTTTGGTGGCTGGCTGGTACAGAGATTGAACCCTGGACCCTGCTGTTATCAGAACCATGCTCTAACCAGCTGAGCTAAACAGCCAGCCCCCAAGCTGCTTTCTGAGTGGAAAAAGGAACCTAAATCTCTATGTGCCAACAACATTAAAGGCAGCCCAACCTCAGCACTCCAGACCCAGGGACTCACCTGCCAGGTGAAGTGTGGCCTCCAGGACAACAGGTGGGCCCCTCTGCCCCTGGCCGATGCAGCGGTAAACCCCTGCATTGCGTGGCCGGACCTGGGTCAGCAGCAAGGATCCATTGGCAAACACCGTGGCTCTGCGGAGGTGTGGGGGACTGTAGAGGGGAAAGAGTGCTATTTGGAAGAAGAGGCCCACAGACCTCCTTATGGAAGGGAATGTGATGGAACCCCATCCTGCAAAGGTTGGAGATGCAGGAAGGAATGGGCCAGGAACAGGGCAGAGAGAAGGAAGCCAACACTCCACATCGGTGTGTGTACGCAGGCATTCATGCACGTGTGTGTCTGTGTGTGTTCCAATTACAAGAGGCATAGCTTTGGGGGCCACAAGGCAAACAGCAGTCCAAGTGAGAGAGAGGAGTAGTTAGCAGTGTGCAACTGTTGAGACAGAGAGACCACCTTCCTGCAGGGCCAGGCTGGTAAGGCACCCAGCTCCAGGGGTCAGAGCCCCCCAGCCACACCAGATGAACTACTGATGATGTCCTCAGGGCTGAAACCAGGTGGGAACTATGCCCCAAAGACCATAGTCACACCCGACACCGCAAACACGCTCTGTTCTCCCAGGGCCTGGGCAAGGACAGAAGTCCCTATAGAGGGGCTCGAACCTACCAGCACCTTCTGGAGGTGTTTGCTTCCTCCAAAAATGTGTCTGTGTGTGTGTAAGGTGTCTCTGCCATCCTGGACCTTGTTATCCAGACTGTGACCACCTAGGTCCCCTGTGTTCCTCCCATGTACTCACCCATCCTAGAAGATCCATGTGGGCGAGAGAGGAGGGTAGAGAGAAGTAAAGCCAACACTAGCTCATAGAGTGCCTTTGTGCAAACTGGAAAAAGATGCCCTTTCCTGAGACTTCCCTTTGTTGGACTCAATTGGTAACAGCAAACATTTTACTGCCATCTGCTGGACATTTGAAGTAAAACATGTACAAATCTATGATGTCTGTGATTTGAATCTCATCCCCTCTACAGAAGGTTTGTGTGCAGCGCACAACCTGTACCACAGTACTGGAAGGCTCCCAGCCAGACACCTTACCGACTGCGATTTGTGATGGGAGTCTCGTCCTCAAAGGCCCACTGCAGGCTCGGGGGTGGCTGGGCTGAGAACTGACAATGGAACATGGCCTCCTCGTTCCTTGCCACTACCATGTCTTGGGGCGCCAGCACCACTCTGGCAAAGCTTTCATCTGGGGCAGGGGAAGCACGGGGGAATGAGCAGGCAGGGTGGTGAGGCCCCTCCCACCCCCTCCTCCCCTCCTCCATCCCCACCCCAAGCATACCAGCAATGCTCAAGGTGAAGTTCTGGTTGCTGCAGGCCTGGCCAAAGGCATTGTGGGCACAGCAGGAGTAGAGACCACTATGCTCAGGACTGGCCGGCCAGAGCATCAGGTTCCGCTCCTTGCTGCTGACTGTGTGGTTGCTTTGACCATCAGAAAGAGGGGTCCCATCTCGGAACCACTGATAGGTGGGCCTGCAGAGCAGAGGGGGTCAGCAGTGTGGGGGGGTACTCAAGTGGCCAGTGGAAAAGATACAGTATCAGAGGGTCAGTTAGACCCCTCAGTTTACAAATGCAGAACTGAGGCCCGAGGGAGAGAGGTGACTTGCACAGGGACACACAACAATTAAGGGGCAAAATCAGGCTGAGCACAAGATCTCTCAGCTCCCAGAATCCAGGGATCACTCCACGCACAATGCTGGCCCTCCTCAAATTACCAGGGGTGGACATGGAGCAGCATTTGGGGAGAGGTGAAGAGCACTGTGGTGGGGGCAGGGAGTAGTTACAGAATGCAGCAACGTAGACCTGCATAGAGTCTGAGATTTGAGGAAACATCTCTACCTGTCTAGAATAATCCTCTCCATCCCCACCCTCCTTGGCTCCTTACCGAGGGTGCCCGTCAATGTGACAACGAAGTGTAACCTGGGTCTGTGGCTGGATCTCAGCTTCTGACGCTGGATGCTTCAGGACCACAGGACCTGCCTCAATCCCTGCAGTAGAGGCCATGGTGCAGTGAGGGGAAGAGCAGCACAAGGGCAAGAAGGCAGAGGGAAGGGAGAACAAGTGGGGAGCTATGGACCTTGAGGTTCTGAAGCCAGCAGACACAGGGAAGCCCTGTGAAGCTGAGGCCAGGGCTCCAAGCACCAGAGACTGAGTGCCCGCCCCTGAGTGCCCGCCCCGTCCCTGGCAGGACAAGCCTGACACCTGGCCAATGGCCTCACCGCCTTCTCCAAAAGCATTCAGCAGGTAAAAGGGCCCAAGACTCGAAGGAGAAAGAAAAACTTTTGGAAAAAATGAAACTTTTAATTTTCTCTTATTCACACAGCAGAAAGAGCTGACCACAACTGCTTCTGACTGCCCCATGCAACTGGAAAGGAGAAGCTGAGGCAAAGGAGGGGTCCCCCAAGGCTCGAGAGTTGAGGGTCTGATAGGGGAACTAGGCACAGCTCCCTGGCTCTCACATTTGATGTTGAAGGAGGCATTGGCACTGTGGGCTTCCTCTCCAGTGATGTCATCCCGAGCCACACACTGGAAGGCGCCGGAGTCCTGCAGCCGGTCCACAGCTGCAAAGCTCAGGCTACTGTCCTGGGCAAAACGCCGCTCAGTGTCTTGGACAGGGGCCCCGTCCAGCAGCCAGTACACATGCACTGGGCCCGGGGCCTCAACCTCACAGCGGAGCAGCGCCCGGCGCCCCTGCAGTGCATCCTGGGAGGACGGCTCCTTGATGAAGACAATGGCTGCCTGGGCACCTGCAGATGGGGACACAAGGAGAGGCAGGGTCAGGAGGAGCTGCAGCCTCTGTCCTAGCACAGGCCACCCTATGCACAGGAGAAGGAAAGAGGTTGAGTACACAAGAGGCATCCAATATGTGCAGGTATAAAGCATCATGATAACACAACTGACAAGAGTCCACTAGGAACTTCTTTTCCCCCTCATTTTAAATGGGGATGATAATACCTCAAAGGGATCCCACAATTTTCTTTTCTCCCTTTTTCTTTTTCTTTTTTTTTNGGCGGGAGCGCTGCCGCGCTCCCAAGCGGCGCACTGTAGCAGTGCGCCACGGGGCCGGCCCTGCATTTTCTATTTCTATGACAAGCAGTTCTAAATCATGTAAGTTTAATAAGTGAAAACTATATGTACAATAAAACTGCTATGTAAAAACAAAAAGATATGCACAGAAAAAGAAGAGGACACACACCCAAAGATGATGGATAGTGGGATTATGCATTTTTTTTCTCCCAAAACTTTCTAAAAGAGCCCATGTAACTTTTATGTTGCAAAGGATAAACTATTCTGAAAAGGGGGAAAGGAGGACTTTACACTGTCTGGACCAATCCAACCTCCTGTTGCCTAGAATCGTCTTCTATATGGCCCAATGCTGTAATCTGACCCCTTTTGTGTCTGGCTTTTTTCTTCCTAAATGGACCATAAATAAGTCCTCCATATCTTGTCTATCCCCACGGTTCCTGGCACAGTGCTGGCCACTCAGCTGGCCCTCAGGCATGCACACAGCTCATCAGTGGATGGCCTGCCTGCCTCATCCCATGCCCACATGGTACCCACCTGCCCGTACCCACTTAATAGTGGGCTTCTCTCGGCCTGTGGCTGAGCAGGGCACCGTGGCCTCCTTGTCAAACTCCATGCACTGCTGTGGCTGGGGTGGTGGCGTGAACTTGAGCTTTTCTATTTCAGCAGAGGGCAGCAGGCAGGTAGAAAGAGGAGGAACTGAGGCAGCTGGATAGGCCAGGCGAGTCTTGCTGCTCCCTCCCCTTTCTTTCCCGCCTGGCCAGGCAAGGTGATCTCCCCACACATGCCAGCTCACCCAGCACTTGGACTCGGGCCTGCGCCTCAATGCTGCCAGCTGGAGTGCTGCTCACACAGCGATACCATGTCCCATCATACACCTCCACGTTGTTGATGCGCAAGGTCCCGTTCTTGGAGACCTCGAACCGTGAGTCCTGCAGCACATAAGACATGACCATGGGAGGCTTCAGAGCCTGAGCCGACACGAACACCTCCCAGGGGCAGCCTCAGGGGAAAGGGAGCTATGGAGGTGAGCATGGAGAGAGCTGTGGGAGGGAATTCCCACACCCTGACCCCATCCAGCAGCAGCAGTCCTCTTTCTCACCTCCGAGATGAGCATCTGGTTTCTGTACCACATGACTGTGGGTTTTGGTGTGGCCTGGGTCTGACAATGCAAATAGCCTGGTTTGCCCTCCTCCAGCTGGCTGTCCTGGGGCTTCTTCAGCCATGTGGGCACAGCTAGAGCAACAGGGAGGAAAAGTGAAAGCTAATTAACAGGTCTCCAAAACCAAAGGACCCAACCCTAAGAAATTCTAATACCCCACTAGGCCCTGCGTTCAGTAACCCCAGGCTGCTCGGGTAAGAACTGCCACAGCTGCCCCATAGTGAAGGCCTAGGTGCCAGGACCTTTTGAAAGTTACCTCAGTTACTGTTACAATAAACCCCCATGGTATGTATTTCCGTACCCGTTTTACAGTTAAGAAAACAGCGGTTCAAAGAAATAATGGTGATTTGCTAATACATGACAGGGATAGAATTCAAAACTGGTCTGTATGACTCTAAAACCCTTGCTCTTCCTGTTACACCATAACACGCCACAGCTCAGCCCTCAGATCTCTGTTCTGTTTTAGCCACACTCACTCCCTACATGAGCTCATCCAGTCGACAACCTTCAGTGCCGTATGAACGCATGATTCCCAAACCTATTCCTCACTTTTGACCTCCCCCCATGAGCTTCAAGGCATTTCCAACTAGATATCTAAAAGCATCTCAAACTTCACGTGTGCAAAAGAGAATAGCAGATTTCCCCCAAAATCCAGTTTTCCCTATCTCAGTAAATAATACCGCTATCCAGTCAATCATGGAAGCCAAAAACCTAGCCTTGACTTCTCTCTACACCTCCCACGACCATCACACTCACTTTACACAAACCCTACCTACTTTCGCTCCAAGTGTATCATGATTTGACCACCTCCCCCTCCACTGCTACTACCTCTGTTTCAACTTCCTTCAACAACTCCCCTAGATTATCATCACAGCCATCTACCAACTGGTCTTCTGCTCATACTCTTGCCCCTAGCATTCTAGTCTTCTCAGAACAGCCAGAATAATCTTCTAAAAAATCAATCTGCTACTCAAAACCCTGCAAGGACTTCCCATCCAACTTGGTGTTGGTAGATTGTTGATAGCTGAAAACAGTCCTCCTATCCATTTCATCTCTTTGTAATAGGATGCCGATACTTTACCCATCAAGAGGCAGAGTCTATTTCTCTACTCCCTGGAATCTGGGTGGTCTATGACTTGCCTTGTCCAAAAGAATACAGCAAAAGTGTTGCAGCTTCTGCTTTTGCCCTCTCGAAGTCCAGCCTCTATGTAAGAAAGCCTGGACTAGCCTGCCAGAGAAGCCATGTGGAGGAGAACCACGGGCACTCTGGTCAATAGCCTGAGTCAACTGCCAGACATGTGAGGGAGGCCATTGTAGGCTACCAGCTGACCTATCAGCTGACTGCAGATACACCCCTGAGCCCAGCTGAAGCACATGCAGCTAATGAGCCATCCCAGCTGAACCCTGCCCACACAGTCAGAAGCAAATTGATAGCTGTTGTTTCAAGCCACTATGTTTTGGGGTGGTTTGTTATGCAGCAGTGGATAACTGATCCACTTAGAATACAAGCCAAAGTCCTTCTATATTCTTATAAGGTCCCACATTTCTAGTCTCCACCTCTCAGCAAACACTCTCAAAATCATTTACTCAACTCCAGCCACACAGGCTACTACTGTCCCTCTAACACACAAGCTGGTTTCTGTATCAGGGCCTCTCACATGGCTGGTGGCTCCCACCTTAAGTACCAGTTCAAATGCCATCTTCTACAGAGGTCTTCTCTAAACTCTTCCTGGCCCCCACCCTGTCTCTCTCTGTCACCCTATTTTATTTTTTTTCATGGCTCTACTGCCACCTAAAATTATATAGTTATTCATTCAGTTGTTTGTTTGCTTTGCCACTCCTATTAGAATAAGCACTCCAGAAGAGATGGGTTTCTGCCTACTTTATTCACTGATGCACTCCCAGCACAAAAAGAAGGCACTCGACCAACCTCTGTTGGCTGACTGCAGTCCCAGAGCTCTCCCTCCGCTGCGCTCTACCCACTATCCCTCAGCACCTGATCTGGCCACCCCTGCATCACGCACTCTCTCTCAAACTCCACAGGCCTCTTCCTCAGACTGTAGTGCAGGGCACTTGGTAGGGCTCAGGCAGTGTCAGCTCAATGATGGATCAAAGCCAGCAATTTCCAAACTTGAGCATGCACAAGCATCACCTGGAGCACTTATCAGACACACCTCTGCCTGGGCCCCACCCCTAGAGCTGGGTTAGGAGATGTGCAGTAGGACCTCAGGTTCTATATTTTTATTTATTTATTTATTTATTTATTTATTTATTTATCTAGGCAGCTGGCTGGTACAGGGACCTGTCGGACTTGACTGGAGAGAGGCTGACCATGTAGCCTGCATTTGTCTGCATGTCACTGTGTAAATGTCCTGAGCACCATTCCCTGTGTGCTGTGGCTTCCCTCCAGAACTAGGAGACTGAGCACAAGAGGACATGTCTTCTGAGATTTCAGTAACTTAATGGGAATAATCTCATCAAAACTTCACATTTACAAAGCCTTTTCATATTCAAATCCTTCTGCAAATTTACCCATTTGGAAAAATGTTAGTAATGTAAAGGTAAGTGGAAGCAGCAGATTGCAAAACAGTTTGTACGTGTGTGTGTGTGTGTGTGTGTGTGTGTGTGTGTGCGCGCGTGCATATTATATAGTCTGTACTGTGTATCCTTTTAAACTACCACAGAGATTTCTAATAAGGCATGGTACAAAGAAATGAGTAAACAAATAAATCCCTATGCCTGTAGCAACCATATATAGGATTTTAATTCATATGTAATTCCAGTCATATTCATCGCTTTTTCCCCTTTTCATAAGTCTACTAAAGAAATTTGGAAAGTATAACAAACTAAAACAAAATAAAAATAGTTTTGTCCACTGTTACCTCCCAAAAATAAAAAAGAAAAATCTTTTTTATCTGCTTCATTTGATCTTTCCAACCACCCTATGGGATAGGGAGTGGATTATGAGCCCCATTTTATGGACGAGGGGACTGAGCCCTAGCAAGGCAGTTGACCTGCTATCCGTGGTCACTCTGTGCACTGGGGACAGAGTGGGACCCTGGCCTCTGGACTCCTAGTCCCATTGCTCTTTCTTTCCTCTGCAGCCAGAGGACAATTTTTCTGCAAGGGCCACCACTACTTCCTCTGGCGCACCCTCCCCAACCTCTGTGTCTGGCTCTCCACTGTCCACTCCAACTCCCAGCAGTCCATTGATTCCAGCCTGCAGCACCCAGAGCTGAGAAAGCCTCAGGTAAGCACCAGGGAAACCTCTGTCCATCACCCCTAGAGTCCAAGCTTCCATGGACCTGGACTCCTCTCCATCTGTCCTCAACCTTCAGGGCAAATGTGCTCACTGGCCACGGTGATGTTGATATCCTGTCGCCGCTGACCAGCCAGGTTGGCTGCATGGCAGGTATAGATGCCAGCATCACTCTCAGCAGTACTGGCAAACACCAACTCGTGGCCCTTCTGGTAAACCCTGCCATGGGCAGGTAGCCGGGCTCCCGCGTGTTCCCACCACACACTAGGCTCCGGCAGTCCCTTGGGGGGCAGGCAGGCCACACGCTCCTCACTGCCAGCTGTGAATACCTGTGGCTCAAGTGGCAGCATGTCTTCAATCTCTGCAAGGGTGTGAGTAGGAGGGGAACAACCCGATTACTGTGGGTTTCAGGGTACATGATGTTCTCCCATAGCAAGCCTAGGCCCTTTCTAGCTGCAACCCTCCTCTGTCCCTCTACATCTCCTCTTCCTACCCCCAGCATCCCCTCCCTCCCTCCGCCCTCCAAGCTGCTTTTTTTTTTGGTGGCTGGCTGGTACAGAGATTGAACCCTGGACCCTGCTGTTATCAGAACCATGCTCTAACCAGCTGAGCTAAACAGCCAGCCCCCAAGCTGCTTTCTGAGTGGAAAAAGGAACCTAAATCTCTATGTGCCAACAACATTAAAGGCAGCCCAACCTCAGCACTCCAGACCCAGGGACTCACCTGCCAGGTGAAGTGTGGCCTCCAGGACAACAGGTGGGCCCCTCTGCCCCTGGCCGATGCAGCGGTAAACCCCTGCATTGCGTGGCCGGACCTGGGTCAGCAGCAAGGATCCATTGGCAAACACCGTGGCTCTGCGGAGGTGTGGGGGACTGTAGAGGGGAAAGAGTGCTATTTGGAAGAAGAGGCCCACAGACCTCCTTATGGAAGGGAATGTGATGGAACCCCATCCTGCAAAGGTTGGAGATGCAGGAAGGAATGGGCCAGGAACAGGGCAGAGAGAAGGAAGCCAACACTCCACATCGGTGTGTGTACGCAGGCATTCATGCACGTGTGTGTCTGTGTGTGTTCCAATTACAAGAGGCATAGCTTTGGGGGCCACAAGGC